AAAAAAAAAAATTAAAAAAAAAAAAAAAAAAAAAAAAAAAAAAAAAAAAAATTCATGAGTTAGGCCCATACACAAAAAAGCCAGATTTATCATTTGCTCTTACGTACGAGTTTTAGAAAAAGTAGAACTCGCGAACATATCTTTAACTTCATTTTTCACTTTTGTTATTTTTTTTCTTCAAATTAACATACTGTACATATTGAGAATCAGTGCAAATGACCCAGGATTTGATACTGACGCAGGAGCTGCTGCATTTCACGTCTATCTTTTTTTTTACGTGTGTTTGAAACTTTAAAGTTTCAAGTAAAAAAGTAATGTCAAGAAATAAAATGGGATTAAAATAATTACAATAATGACTGGAGAGTGGGCAAAAGTGCCTTGATCCGCCCCTGAAACTATTTTACTTTTTTAGATAATACGTGGCCTTTATTTCAATATTTATAATTTATTTATTTGTGCTCATTCTATTTATTTATCTATTTATTAGCATTTACTCGTTTTGATCCACTCTTTTGACTGTATCATTTCTTCTCGTAAGGTTGTGCTATCTGTTATCATCCCTCTCCAAAAGATCGTGAAATTCACCTTCAGGCTTTCCGGCTTCTGCCTCAGTTCTAGTTGACCGGCTGTTGCATGATATCAGTGTTGTGTTCTTTCCATGACTAATGTAGTAAGCACCATACATCGTCACAACATTTCTGGAGACAAGACTCGTCAAAAGTCTTTTCACTAATGAGAAGGTTGCTTTTGTCCTAACTTCTTTAAATAAACACTTAAGTGCACTACTAAATGAAATATGTTTCGTTCTCGCTATATGGCATACTTGTATTGGCGGACTTTGAGGACAAGGCTTTTTTCTTGGTCACCATTAAGTCTTTCACTCTATTTTTGGTAAGTTTCATTCCTCGTTTTTTAATAGTTGAGTTTCTTTGTGCGCTTTTGATAATCCATTTGCCTCAGATTTCCCTCCCTAACAACTGCCAGTGATACTAGAGTCATTTGCCAAAATGGCTTGATTATGTTTTTTTTTCAACAGAAATAATACAGTTTTAAAAGTAAACGATTCTTTATTCAACACATCAGTCTAAGCCGCCCTAAAACAACGAAAAAAAGAAGGAATAATCTTTCTTTTTTAGGATTTAGATTTTTATAGAATTAATGTACATACTCAGGGCACTTCTAAGGACCTTACCCTGCCATCGCTATAACAGGTAAAACCGGCATCGCGTCACCTAAACGGGAATACTTCCTGAAATGTTGTAATAAAAACGAAGATTTTTCTAAATATCACAGGATGCATTTATTTACAGTTTTCCAATAACCTGATTCGAGCACATATGCTTTTCCCCAATGGCTGAAATATGTTGTTTAATTTTCAGTTTCTTTTCAGTAAAACTGGTGACCACAGGGTATATAGACATAT